TTTCGACTCGGTCCAGCCGCACAGGCTGATTGAGTTGGCTGTGAAGATGGACTACCCGCTCCACCTCCTCTACCTCGGTATTCTGATACATGAGCCCCCCCGAGTGCTTGAGGTTGGTGGTTTTGTGTCGGATATTATTCCTCCTGGGCGGGGTATCCTGGCGGGATGTATGCAATCGATGTCTTGGGTTAAGATTTATTTGTATGATATCCTGGACCTGGCTCATGTCCAATATCGTCCTGTCCAGGTAAAATCTTATGTTGACGACATCACCAAATCACAGGTTGGACATATGAAGGATGTATTAAACTCTTTAGTTCCTGCCGCCATGCTGTTGGCCCACCAGCTTGAAGGAGTTGGTTGCGCTATCTCTGCCAAGTCTGCTCTCGTGTGCAGCCACGCCGATCTTGGACGCGAGTTGGCCGCCTGTTTCAGGGCGACAGGGTTGCATATCCAGTTACAGGCTGCAACTCGAGATCTGGGGGTCATGACCACGGCAGGGAAAAAGAGATATACGGTGAAATTAATGCAACGACGTAGCCAGGCCTCTGAGAAAGCCAAGAAGGTTGCGCTTCTCGCCCGCATTGTGGGCTCCGCGAGGCGTTTGTACAAACTTGGGGTCCTCGCTGTTGGTTCGTGGTCCCACCAGGTGTTGGGGCCCACTCCTGGGCAAATCCAGTCTATGAGGGCCCAAGCGGCCATGTGTAGTGGTAGATGGAACCCTGGGGCCTGCACTACCACCGCCCTGGGGCTCATCAGTCCTGCCAAGGATGACCCCCAGTTTAGGCTTCGCTATGAGCAGCTTGTTAGTTTCTATGATGTTTGGCAAGATCTTGGACACACTAAAAGGATGGAGGTTTCTCGTTGTTGGGACATTATTGTTGATAAGTTCAGGAAAACCAAACATCGGTGGCAATGTGTTCCTGGCCCTTTAGCTGCTACAGTCGCGGTGCTGCTCGACCTCAATGTGTTGCCGCATAGCCCAGTGTATTGGATTTTTCCTAATGGAGTGCACATCCGTTCCAGCCACCAGGCCTTCCCCCACACCCTCTGGAGCACGCTCATGGAGGTGTGCGGGGACATGTCGTGGAGCGGGGCTGCTAAACATTATGAAGGAGCTGGTTTAGGAGGAGGAGTGGATTTCACGGCCCCGCGTGCGTTTTTGAAGAAACTTTGGAAAGATGGCTCTTTTGAAGCCGCTGGTATGATTCGTAATGTTATGACTGCTGGTTTCTGGACTGAGGACCGTCTTGCGCAGGCCGGCTACGAGTCTTCCACGAATGGCAAGTGCCCTCGGCGCGGCCTCGAGGCCGAAATTGCTGCCCATCGCTTTTGGCGCTGCAGATGTAATGATGATATCCCCGACAGTGCGATCGACCAATCGAATGTCTTTAAAGCTGAAGCGTTGAGTTCTCCCGAACCCTCCTGTTTCTGGATGCGTGGGCTGCCGCCCTTATCCGCCAGTGTTGGCCACCTCCCTGAGCCCATGAAGCTTTCCTGGGATTGGGGAACGGTGGGTGCGGGTGCCCGTGTGAATGGGGGTGTTTGGGGAATCAATGGCAGTGGGGGAAAATATCATAAAGACTGGCGACTAAGGCGATGTGGATGGGCGATCGTCCACCAAGGTCCTGCTGGCCTGTTTGACGGCGTAGCTAGTGGAACGTTGCCGACTAAGGTGCAGTCTGCTGGGCGTGCCGAGCTGTATGCGCTTCTACAGCTGGTGATGCGCTCGACAGGCAACGTCAGAGGTTATTGCGATAATATGGCTGTTGTGAAAGGTGCTCGTCGCCCCCTCCGTATGAAAGCTAAATCTGCCTTGCTTGATCTCTGGAAGGTATACCACGAGGTTCTGGGGGCTCGGGGCGGTACGGTTGATGTTCGTTGGACTAAAGGTCACCCCACCCAGGCTCAGGCGTTTCACATGGTTTTGAGCGACACTGAGTTCTACCTCAATAAAGCTGCTGATTGTTTCGCGGGAAAGGCTGCAGATGCTGGCCAGGTGACAGAAGACGAGGCCCGTAGGACCCTTCTGGCCGATGAGCGGGCTTTCAAGGTTTTGGGTCGTCTCTTGTCTGTCCAAAGAGAGGTTTTGTTTAACTCTGATCGTGAGAGAGTGCGGCGTGTCGGCCGTGCCCGTGCGTCTGTGCGATCAGTTGATGAGCGATTATGCAGACCCCGTGACTCGGGTCATGACTGTGTTACGCGCTCAACGTCCTTTAAGTGTCGCCTGTGTGCCCGCTCGTCTGGACGTCGAGGCCCTCTTTGTGAGTTCTGGCCTTGTATATGTAAACCCCGTGCAGAGATAAATCAGCGAATTCAGGCCCTCCCTGCTAGGAGTGCACCTGCCCCTCCTCCTGATGATCGGAGGCGGGAGTGGGTGGGGGAATGGATCATCCAGTGGCCGAGCTATGCCATGCCTCGCATCAGCTCGCCACCCTTCGAGGAGTTTTGTTTTGTCAAGTCTGCGGTTGCCATTGTGTTGAAAACCCGCGGAACCTGAAGTCGGAGTGTTTGCCTCCCACCAAGGCTGGCCACGAAGTGCTCAGCCGTCTGAAGAGGGGATTGCCTCCTAAGTCTGGAGGCCGCTTCCCTGATTTGTGATGTGGCCCAGCGTGCCCCGCCTAGCTGCAGGTCACCACGCACAGAGGTATAATATAATAGAATCCCCCTCCTCCTCAGCCGACGCCCTCTACCTTTCTCTTTCCTCCGTTGTTTTCCCTTCGCATTGCACAAGAGAGCTCTTCCCCTTCATTTTGTCCCAGTGCATGTTCTTCCCTTCCCCCGGTCAAGGCAACCCGCCTGGGCATTGCTTTCAGGATGGGCTTCTGGGGACGCGCGAAACGTCAAGAGCTTGAGGCCAGGACACCCAGCGGACAGCCGAACTTTGCACCACGGAGACGGGGCAGGTGAGGAAAACCTTCGCCACATGGATTCAACGCATCCGTGGATCAAGGCGCATGGATTATCGACGCACCCGCCTCCAGACTAAATCGGCGCGTTCCGTCGCCAAACTCAGGCGGCATCGGCGCCGTGCTTCGGGGGAACGTTCCCCCTATCCGTTGATCTGGCGCCCACACGCCAGATCCATGGACTCCTAACCCACGCCAGCGCGTGCCCCACTTCAGCCCAGAGGGTCGATGGGATGCTCGGCATCTGGGGAGGCTGTCTCTGCGCCTCCTGGGCCGTCGGAGAAGCTGGGGATGGCACGAAGTGCCCTGGAGAAGTGGTCGAGCGGTCCAGGGGCTGGCGACTGAAAAAATATAGTCGCCGAGTGTATGTGTGTTTCTCCTCCTCCTCCTCCTCCTCCACCACCACCGCGTTCCTCCCCCTCCTTCCGTATACCACTTGGGCTTCAGGCGTATCTCCTTGGAAGGAAATGTAGAGACCCCATGTCCAGGGACCACTACACATGTTCTCAACGCCAGGGTCAGTTGGCACGCTCTGCGCACCGCTCAACTATCGTACCGGGCTTGCATTGCTCAACGGCAACGGCCACGGTTGCCACGCATAATAACAGAGGAAACGAATGGAAGACGAATTGGAGTAAGACGCACGCTTCCCTTCTGGTCGAGGCACTCCCCAACATACATTGTACATTCTTGACGCTTCGCATACCCCCACCAGCCCATCCAGAAACGATGCCCAGGCGAGTTGCCTTGATCAGGGAAGCGGAAGATCATGCAGAGGTACAAAGAGTTGGAGAACCCGTCGTATACCAAGAGGGGGAGGAAGGAGGAGGAATCGGAGGAGGAGGAGGAAGAGGAAGAAGAAAAGGACGAGGAGGAGGAGGAGGAGAAGGAGGAGGAGGAGGAGGAGGATAAAATTGGTGGAGGAGAAGAAGGAGGAGGAGGAGAAGGGGGAGGAGGGATGAGGGAGGAAGAGGAGTAGGCGGATGAGGAAGTGGAGATGAAGAGGAAGAAGAAAAGGAAAATGGCGAGCTTGGGGGCCTATTGGGGCGTCTTGGGGGCCTCGTGGCGGTCCTGGGCGCCTCTTAGAGCGTCTTGGGTGCCTCGGGGAGCCTCTTCGAGGTCTCTTGGGAGTCTCTTTGGGGGCAGCTTGGGGCCTCCTTGATGCCTCTTGGGGCCCTCTTGGGGCTCTCTTGGGAGCCTTGGAGGCGAGCCATCTTGGAGGGAGATCGATCAAATAAGGGGGGGTGCTTAATTAGCCATGCCCTTCTAGAGTGCCAAATTCGTCTCTTGGAGCGCTCCTCGGCACTCTTGGGGCCGTCTTGGGGCTCTCGTGGGCCTTTCTTGGAGCCCTCTTGGAGGCGTCTTGAGGCCTCGGAAGGCCATCGAAACCAGAAAGGCGAGAAGGCTAAAGTCAGTGATGTTCCTTACATAGGTTGTTGCAGGAGTCTGGCCTCTTGGCAGCCTCCTGGGGAGGTTCCGTGGCCTCTTGGAGCCGTCTTGGAGCGGTCTTGGGGCCTCTAGGAGCATTTTGGGAGCCATCTGGAGCCATCTTAGACTATCTTGAGCCATCTTGGAAATCGTCTTGGGCTCTCAGAGGCCCTCTTTGAGGCGTCTTGGGCCATCTTGGACGCTCCAACGCCTCGCGAAACCCCCGCTCCAGGTCCTGAGGAGGGTGTAATCAGGGGGAGGGGTAAACCCCTCGTCGAAGGGTAAGAAGAGGGTTGGAAGAGAAACCGCCCTAGACCACCTACGCCCAGAGGGCTGATGGAATTCAAGGACGCGTGCGCCCGATGATCAATTTCGCCCGAATCCAGCAAGACCCCCTTACTCAAAACATTACACGTCGAACTGGCTTCGTGTTATGTAGGGGGAGCCTTTGGTTGCGGAAATGCAGATTTCAAGAAGGAGGGAGGGAGGTGAGTGGACGAGAGAGGGAGGGAGTGATTGACAGGACAATGGAAGAGAGGAAAGGGACGGGAGGGGAGGGACCAGGCCGATCTTGGACCGAGGAGCTTTGAAGGGGGGACGGGCTTGGGTCCGCAGCAGTTTCAAGTGTTCGACCTCCTGCCCAGCAGCTCCTCCACCGCCGGCATGGACGCCTCGCCGAGGGCGTCCAAGCTGCAGCCTGCCGGCTCGGCCCGGGCCACCGTCGACGAGGTGACCGTGCCGCAGGCGCTGGAGAGGCTCCGGCTCGACGTGGAGGAGGTCTTCCACAGGCACAGGGAGCTCTGCGGAGGCCCGGCGGGCGGCGGCAGCTCGCAGGCGCTGGCGCCGAGGTGCACCGTGCAGGCGCCGGCCGAGGACGTCCGGGTGCCGGCGGGGCGGCCGAGCATGTTCGGTGCAGCGCTGGGCCCGGAGGGCATTCACCTGCCCGGGGGCGTGGCGCAGCCCCAGCTCCCGGGCCTGAGGTCTTCCCCGGAGGAGAGAGAACGCCAGGAATGTGAGAGGGAGGGGGGCGGAGCGGTCATTCACGGGCCCTGCGCGCGTGGCTGACATGGACTTCCGCAGTGCGGATTGTTTGTTGCTGCAGTTGCCGATGCTGGTGTTTTGTTGTTGTCATTGTTGTTGTTGCCGCTGTTGTTGTTGTTGTGATTGCCGCTGTTGATGCGGATGTTGTTGTTGCCAGGCGAGGGGGTCAACAGTAAATGTCCTGTAAACATGAGAATTCAACAACAACAACAACAACAACAACAACAACAACAACAACAACAACAATAACAACAACAACAACAACAACAACAATAACAACAACAGCAACATTCCGCACCGCGTGAGCCACGCACCCAGGGATAGTGAATGGCCGTTCGGCCCCCTCATTCTGATATGTTGTACAATAGCGCAATCGATGCGGTTCAGTATTCGTTGTGCAAGCTACGTGATGCAGTCTAAATGTGGTACAATTTCTGCTGTGCACGCTACGTGTTGCAACCCATGTGGTGCAATATATGTTGTGCACTCTACGCGGTGCAATCTACGTTGCGCAACTCATGTGCGAAACTCGCAGTTGTCAACTCCACTGCTCGCGCAATCATCCCACCCGCCCACCCGCAACGTGTCTTGCAAAACATATGCGGCGGCGATTGTGATGAGTGTTTGGTGATGGCTGGTGCATCTCTGCGGCCGCGCTAGCCTGCGCATGCTGGCGCGCGCAAGGGCCAGCTAGTTTGGCGCGACCAACGCGGCCGCGGTGGCGCTGACTTCTGGGCACTTCCCAGCGTGCACGTCAGTGCGACTCGGCCACTTGGGCGGGCGCGGTAACGCCGACAACGGTAAACTCGATGGTGATAGCAGCGACGCTGGTGGCGCTGTTGGCAACGCTGGCGGCACGGCCAGGGATGGCGCCGATGCTGATCACGCAGACGACGATGACGGCGTCGTCGCGACGGCGATAAGGTTTTGAAAGGAGTTCGACATGCGCGCTCGGCCGACGCGCGAGAGTGGCCCGGATGGTATTATTTGACACGGGTCGTGATCCGCAGCACGCGCGCAAGGGCGTTCGAATATGTCGACATGCGGCGCGAAAGGCCCGCCTGGACGAATTGGATGACATGGTTTTTATATGATACAAATGAGTAAATTTATGTTTGCAAGCAAAAACTGTTTTATGTGGGGAAATTCGCAAGAGCGCGATCGCAGTCTTTCTTTGAAAACTGCGGTGTTCAAACCATGTGTTTTATAGGTTGTCAGAGCCGCTCGATTTTGACATCCCTCCGGAACCTAAAGTTTCGGAACGATTTCGGCATGCGCGCGCGACGACGCGCACGCGTGCACATCGTCCAGCTGTTTTTTGTCAAAGGGATTCTTGCGACAGCACGCGTACAAAGACGTGTTCGAACGATTCCGACACGCGCTCAAAAGAGACCCATGTGGCAAAATGTTTGCTCTTTTTCCCAACCCTCCTGCGTTGGGTTCTCGTTTTGAATGGAGCACTGCTCGCGCGTCTCCTTCCTTCCTTCCTTCCTTCCTTCCTTCCCGTCCCTCTCTTCCCCCCTACCTTTGACCTCGCCATCCCTGGGGGGCTGCGATCTGCGAAACTGTCGCCACTTTCGAGGGCTGCTGGGGAGGCCAGCGGAGAGGGTACCCAGCGCGGACCCAAACGGGACCTCGCCGTCCCTGGGGGGCTGCGATCTGCGAAACTGTCGCAACTTTCGAGGGCTGTTGTGGAGGCCGGCGGAGACGGTACCCACCGCGGACCCAAACGGAACTTCGCCGTCCTTGGGGGGCTGCGATCTGCGAAATTGTCGCCACTTTCGAGGGCTGCTGGGGAGGCCAGCGGAGAGGGTACCCACCGCGGACCCAAACGGGACCTCGCCGTCCCTGGGGGGCTGCGGTCTGCGAAACTGTCGCCACGTTCGAGGGCTGCTGGGGAGGCCAGCGGAGAGGGCACTCACCGCGGACCCAAACCGTTTCCCATGATACAAATGGGTTGGGTACGTCACAGGGTATTTTTTGAAAAAACAATAAAGTAAAAAAAAAAAAAAAAAAAAAAAAAAAAAAAAAAAAAACGATGGTGTCAATAAGAACTCGCAAGAACGCGAGCGCAAAGTTGTTTTGGAAACCCTAGTTGCGAAACCATGTGTTTTTTTTTACCCATTTTCGGGGCACTCAAGTTTGAAACCCGTACGAAACCTCAGGTTGTTTTAAGGATTCCGACATGCGCGCGCGACGACGCGCGCGTGCGCATTCCGCCCCAGTTTTTGCAAGAGGTTCTTGAGAACTTGTGATTGTTGATCAACGAGTGCGCACAGCGCATTCTTAGAACAGGATGAGGGGGGGGCGTTACCGGTTTGGCTGGAATGGTACGAATTCATCGTTCGGATGGACGATGGGGCAGACTATGTGTACATTGCAAGAAGGTGAACGGTTAACTCCGCGCGGGGGGGGAGATCTTACTTTGTACAATACATGTTGTGCAATCTACGTTGTGCAACCTGTGCGGCGCCATCTGTGTGGTGCAACGTACGCGGTGCAATCTGTATTGTGCAATCTAGGGCGGCGACGAAGTTGCGACGGGGCGGCGACGGCGTCAACATAGCCGCCAGACCGACAGACAGGCCCAGACGACGGGCGGCGACGAGGCAGCGCCAGGGCGCCGAGGGCGACAACAATGGCCGCCAGACCAACAGACAAGCTCAGACCACGGGCGCCGACGAGGCGGCGACGGGGCGGCGACGGCGACAATGTAGCCGCCAGACCGACAGACAGGCCCAGACCACGGGCGGTGACGGCGACAACATATCCGCCATATCGACAGACAGGCCCATTTCCTTGCAACAGAAGAACGAGCCGCTAAGTGCAAGCTCTGTCTGGGGAAACTTGTCGGAGCTCCGCGCGGTTTCTTGGAACGCCTCTGGGCCCCGCTGGCGGCTCCTCTGGCGCCGCCCCTGGCGCGCTCCGCGCGACAGGGAGGTGGGTCCAGCGCCGATCCAGGAAATCCGCGCGGACCTCCAAAGGTTTCTGTTTTGTCCGCCCGTGCTTCTTACCCAGGCCTTCCGTGCAGCACCACCGGAGCGTTCGCGCCAGCCGCGCCAGCGTGAGGCGCGACGTCTCGTCCAGGCTGCGGAGCAACACTTTTGACGTCAAAGAGACCGAGGGCAACTGGATGCACGACCTGCTGCAGAGGAGTAACAGCCTGCCGGGCGTGTCGTCGATGAGCCGGCGCGCCGTGAAGGCGGTGTCGCATGTTACCAGAAAGGTCTCGCGGTACGCGCCGACGACCTGTATCCACGCGTTCGTGAGGCGCCCTGTCTACGAGCTCGCCCAAGTCATGGCGTTTTTCTTGGACGCTGTGCTCGTCGTGTGGGAGATGCAGCACGCGGCGCAGGCAGCCGCCTCTGTGAGCCACGGCGCGGGAGGCATCGAAGACGCCCTGCTCTTCACAGTGCTCATGGACATATCGTGCTTCTGCGTCGTTGTCGACCAGTTACTGAGGTTCGCTGGCGGAAAATTCGACGAGACACTTGGTGCTGGCTGGCAGTCGTTCCACGTGCTGGTCGCGGTCACGCAGCTGGTTCAAGCCATCGGCCAGCACTCGCACGCACACCAAAGGTCCAGGTCTCACTTCAGGATCGCGCTCGCCATGCTCTCCACCTTGCGCCTCGGCCGGGTGTTGTCGCTAGTGTTGGTGTCAAAGGTCATCCGCCAGCACCGTTTCTTCAGGGAGTTGCGCATCATGGTCCTCGCCCTCGCCGGGGTGTGCAAGGTGTTGTTGTGGTCGTGCTTGCTGATCTTCACGATCACTCTCATGTTCGGCATTGCACTGTCCGAGGGAACACTTGCTTTCCTGATTCGGGGCGAGTCCGATGGCCTGCCACCATCGCTGCAGATGCGGTTCGGCTCGCTCTTCGACGCCGTCCTCACGCTCTTCCAGTCAATGTCTGGAGGCGTCGACTGGGAAGTGGTCTGGATAGACCTTGGCGCACTCGGTTGGGTGTACAGGGGAGTGTTCTTGCTGTTCATATGCTTTTCTCTGACCGTGTTGCTCAATGTTGTGACGGCCGTGTTCATCGAGAGTACGATGGCACGCTCTATGAACGACCGTGGACTGGTGGTGCAGAACGAAGTGATGGAGAAAAGAGATTTCCTACACGCTATGAGGAAAATGTTTCGAGAGCTGGACACTGACTTCGACGGCTCTATCACCATGGAGGAGATGCAGAAAAAGATGATGGACCCGGAGATCGGTGCTTACTTTACCCAGCTCGGCGTGGACCCAGACCAGGTGGGCAAGCTTTTCTTCCTCTTGGACCGCGATAAGTCGGGGGCACTCGACCAAGAGGAGTTCATGTTCGGTTGCCTGAAATTCCAGGGCGACGCCAAGAGCCTGGACATCGCTGTCATAAACCAACAGGTCATGTGGATCCACGATACACTGAAGATCGTGGTTTCCCACCTCGGGATCGATGCGGACGACACGAGTATCCGACAAAGCCGGGTCTCTGAATCGGAGACGCCTACGGCAAATCACCGCCGCCCCTTCTGCCCTTTTGGAAGCACCTGTGTGGCCCACAGCTGGGCTATAGCTTGGCCAAGCTAGCGGGCAAGTTGTTCCCCGAGTCGGTTTGGAAAGCCTTCGGGGAACGCGTGGGGGGAGCAAGGGGAGAGAGAAGGAGGAGAAGGAGGAGGATGAAGTCGAGGATGAGGATGAGGACGAGGATGAGGTCGTCAACTGTTATCGCCTTAGCCGAAAGTAGGGTGCGCGCGTGGCCAAGCTATCGGAGGAAACGCATATGTGGCCGAACGTGGTAGGCCTAGAGATTGGACCACGTGTTCCCCGAGGGGGATTTCTTAGGGGCCTCGTTGGCCGTCTAAGGGCGTTCCTGACCCGTCTGACGCCGTCAGAACCCGTCTTCGGGGCCTCTCTGAACCGACTTGGGGCCCTCTTAGGGCGCTTCGGGGCCGTCTTGGAGACCATCCTGGGCGTCTTGGAGGCCTCTTGGGCCGTCTTGGGACCCTCTTGGGGCCGTCTTGGGAGCCTCTGTTGCCGTCATGGGGCCATCTTGGAGGCGATCTTGAGGCGACCTTGGGGGCCTCTTGGGCCGTCGGAGGGCCGAACAGGCGCAAATGCAAAAATCCTTCAAACACTGGAAAAAACAATTATGTTGGCCTCTTCAAGTCCTCCTAGGAACCTACTGGGGGCTTCTTGGGCCGTCTTGTGCCGTCTTGTAGGACTCTTGGGCGGACTTCGAAGCATCTTGGGCCTTGTTGGGGCGTCTTCGAGGCCATCTTGGCTCTCTTGGGCCGTCTTGGAGGGCAGCTTAGGCCATCTTGGGCAAACTCGGAGGCCTCTTGGGGCCGTCTTGAAGGTTTCTTGGGCCGTCATGAGGTCATCTTGGAGGCCGTTGGCGCCATCTTAGCGCGATATTGGGGGCCTCTTGGGCGGTTCTGAGCCGTCGGAAGGCCGAAAAGAAGCGCATTCCAAAACCTTCTTGGTACAAGCTAAGGAAAACAATGTAGTTTTGCCTCTTCAGGTCCTCCTGGGAACCTCTTGCAGGCCTCTTGGGCCGTCTTCGACGCTTCTTGGGGGCTTCTTGGGCCGTCTTGGGCCGTCTTGGATGCTTCTTGCGCGGACTTTTAAGCATCTTGGGCCTTCTTGGGGCGTCTTGGAGGCAATCTTGGGCTCTCTTGGGCCGTCTTGGAGGGCAGCTTAGGCCATCTTGGGCAAACTCGGAGGCCTCTTGGGGCCGTCTTGAAGGTTTCTTGGGCCGTCATGAGGTCATCTTGGAGGCCGTTGGCGCCATCTTAGCGCGATATTGGGGGCCTCTTGGGCGGTTCTGAGCCGTCGGAAGGCCAAAAAGAAGCGCATTCCAAAACCTTCTTGGTACAAACTAAGGAAAACAATGTATTTTGGCCTCTTCAGGTCCTCCTGGGAACCTCTTGCAGGCCTCTTGGGCCGTCTTCGACGCTTCTTGGGGGCTTCTTGGGCCGTCTTGGGCCGTCTTGGATGCTTCTTGCGCGGACTTGTAAGCATCTTGGGCCTTCTTGGGGCGTCTTGGAGGCCATCTTGGGCTCTTTTGGGCCGTCTTGGAGGGCCCCTTGGGCCATATCGGGGCCCTCTTGGGGCCCTCTCGCAGCCGTCCTCAGGGCCTCTTGGGCCGTCCTGGGGCCATCTTGGAAGCCTGTTGGGCGCTCTGGAGATGATCTTGGGGGCCTATTGGGCCGTCTTGGGCCGTCGGAAGGCCGAAAAGGAGCAAATACGACAAGCTCCAGAACCTATGGAAAATCAATCATTTTGGCCTCTTCGGGACGTCCTGGAGGACCTCTCGGAGTCCTCTTGGGCCGTCTTGGAGGCCTCTTCGGCACCTCTTGGACAGTCTTGGGCCGTCTCGGAGGCTCCTTGGGCGGATTTGGTCTTGGAGGCCATCTTGTTTATCTTGGAGGCATCTTGGAGGCAAGCTTGGGCTGGGTCCTTCCGGGTGGCCGGCGGGCTGGGCCGAGCCTCAGGGGAGAGTTCTTCAGGAAAAAGAGCAAAAACCAAACCGAAAGGATCCAGCACGCCGGGCACCCTTGTGGCAAGCCAACAGGGGGCGGCGGATCGAAGACGCCTACGGCGAATCACTGCCGCCCCCTGCCTTTTTGGAAGTGCCTGCGTGGCCGAAAGTTGGGTTTGAGCTTGGCCAAGTTATCGGGCCACGCGTTTCCCGAGTGGGTTTCGAAAGCCTTCGGGGAACACGGAGTCGGGCGAGCTATCGGACCAGGTGGTTTCCGAGCTTTCGGGCCTCCTGGAGGACGTCTTGGAGGGGTCTTGGGCCGTCTTGGAGGCCTCTGGCGGGCCTTTTGGGCAGTGTATGGCCATCTTCAGGCCATCTGGGACCATCTTGGGTGCATCTTGGGGCCATCTTCGCCGTCTTGGAGGCCTTCTTGGCCGTCTTGGAGGCATCTTGGAGGCCATCTTGATCTTGGCCGTCTTGGAGGCCATCTTGGGTGGCTTGGGGGCCTTTTTGGGTTTTTGTTCGAGGCCCTCTTGGGGGCCTCTTGGTCTGTCATGGGGCCATCTTGGAGGCCTCGTGGACGATCTTGGGGTCCTCTTGGGCCGTCTTGGATCGTCGGAAGGTCGAAAAGAAGCAATTGTGAAAATCTTTCAACCACCGAAGGACAATCATTGATTTTGGCTTCTTCGGGCCTTCCTGGTGGACGTCTTAGAGGCATCTTGGGCTGTCTTGGAGGCATATTGGGCGCCTCTTGGGCCACATTCGGCCCTCTTGGGGATATGTCTGCCGTCTTGGACGCCATCTTGGTCGTCTTGGAGGTCATCTTGGCAGTCTTGAAGTGTCTTGGAGACCATCCTGGCCGTTTCGAGACCTCTTGGGCCTTCTTGGGGCTGGCTTGAAGGCCTCTTGGGCCGTTCTGGAGCCATTTGGGAGGCCTCTGGGACTAGTTTGGGGACTCCCTGGGCCGTCTTAGGCGGTCGGAACACCAGAACCGAGGAAAAACAAAAATTCTTCAACAACCTTAGGAAAATTGAAGATTTTGGCTCCCTCGGGCCTCCCTGGAGCACCTCTTGGACTCCTCTGGGCCATATTGGCCGTCTTGAAGCTCATCTTGACCGAGTTGGAAGCATCTTGGAGGCCATCTTGGCCGTCTTGGAGACCGTCGTGGGCGTCTTGGAGGTCTCTGGAGCCGTCTTGGCGCCCTCTTGGGGCCGTCTTGGGGGCCTCTTGAGCCGTCATGTGGCCATCTTGGAGGCCTCTTGGGCGCTCTGGGGGCGATCTTGATGAGCTCTTGGGCCGTCTTGGGCCGTCGGATGGCCGAAAAGGAGCAAAAGCTAAAACTTTTCAAAAACCACAGGAAAAAAAAAAGAAAAAAAAGTTTGACCTCTTCGGGACGTCCTGGAGGAACTCTTCGAGGCCTCTTGGGCCGTCTTGGAGGCCTCTTGGAGGCCTCTTGCGCCGTCTTGGGCCGTCTTAGGTGTTTCTTGTGCGAACTTGGAGGCACCTTGGACTCTCTTGGGCCGTCTTAGAGGCCATCTTGGACCATCTTGGACGAACTTGGAGGCCATCTTGGAGCCGGCTGGAGCCGAGAAACCCTTTGCAACCACCTGTTACGCATCTCCGGCGGGACGGGCCGAAACTCCAGGGGGAGTTCTTTTGGAAAAGAACCAAAACCAAAAGCGAAAGGGTCTAGCAGCCTAGCACGCCGGGCACCCCTGTGATGAATCAACAGGGGGCGGCGGATCGAGTGGCCTTCGGCCCATCCCGCCACCGCGTCTATGTTGTAGGTCAGCAGGTCAGAAGCATATTGGATGCATTTGGGGACCTCGTCGGAGACATTCCGGAAGCCTCTTGGCGAAGGTTTCTGTAGTGTCTCGGGGTCTTTCGAGGTCCTCTTGAAGCAGTCTTGGGGTCTGATTTGGGCCTCCTCGAGGCCTCTTGGGGCTCTAAGGGGCCCTCGGAGGCCTGCTGGTGGTCTCGGGGGCCATCTTCAGGCGGAGGGCTCGAAATATCGGTTCGTGTGCCGTCTTGTGGGCCTCTCTGGCCGTCTTGGCGCTTTCTTTAGGGCCTCTGGGGCCGTCTTGGGGCGATCTCTGGGGCCTGTTGTGCCATCTTGGGCGGTCGAAAACCCGAAAGGGTCCAAATCAATGAGTTGGGCCTCTTCGAGGGCTTTTCATGGACCTCTTGGGGCCCCTTCTGGGCTTCGTGGGCCGTCTTGAAGCCATCTTGGGCATCTTGGAGCGCTCCTGGGGCATTTCGGGGCCCTCTTGGACCGTCTTGGGCCTCCATGGGGCACCCTGGACCCGTTTGGGAGCCCTCTCGCCTCCGGGGCAGCCCAGCGAGCACAACGCGGGGGCACGCGGGAAGCCCCAGAAAATCATCTTGGCATGTGGGGCGCGGGCCCCGGAATACTTCGGAGGTGGCCAGAACCCCCAGCAGTGCCACGTCGATTAGCGACTTGTCCGTGCTCGGTTCTCGAGAGGGCGCCGTGCCCGTTCTTTCCCAGGCTCGCGCCCGCCAGGGTTGGGCCTCAGGTCGTTTTCACCAAACCACGTCTTGCGAAAGGGAGGTCTGCGCATCCCCGAAGATTCGATCCTCCGCGCTCGAGGACGGATACACTTCATCTCGTGCCTCGGGGCACGGTGGCGGATACATTAGGTGTTCCCAATTCTCAAACGCTGCCACTGAGGTGCCCGCCACCGTTCCGCCCTACGCGGTGGACTGGAAGTCCGTTATGGTTCCTTAGAATCTATAGGGCGACGAGATCTATGCATATCCACTGCTCCTGGCCAGGCCAATCCTGGGCCCAGGAGCGGTGTATACGCCCTCCTGGCCTGGCCAGGGAGGCATATACATAGCTCCTGGGCCCAGGATGGGCCTGGCCAGGAGCAGTGGATATGTATAGATCTCGTCGCCCTAAATCTAGGCCTCCCAGATGGGGTCGGAGCAGATGGGGTCGGAGGATCGCGCCGCATCTCCGATGCA